CCAGATCTCATTACAGATGGTTGTGAGCCACCATGTGGGTGCTGGGAATTGAACTCAGGACCTTTGGAAGAGCAGCCAGTGCTCTTAACTGCTGAGCCATCTCTCCAGCCCCCTAGGAACTTCTCAAGCCCCTCTCTTCCCAGAGATTCTAAGTCAGCCGGTCTCTTATCAGAGGAAACAAAAAACCTTGATAGAATAAAGAAAGAGAAATAAATTGTTGCTTAGTAATTTTAACTCGAATAAATATTTATTGATTTCTTGGTATATGCTCCTGTTTTGAATGGAACAAATGAAGGGGGGAAAAACACAATCTGTCTTGCTAGTCTCTGTTTTGTGACCAAGTGTAAAAACTAAGAAAAACTCAAAATGCTATCTATGACAGGGAAAAACTGGGCCCACACTGAGTTGTTACACAAACACCTCCTGCAATGAGTGTGTTGTGTATCAGAGCACACCCAAAGAAACAGATGTGGAGGGAAGTCCCGAGGCACAACGGTCCAGGAACGGGGCAACTGCAGGTCTAACGGCTGGAAAGGATGTGAACAGATGTGGGAGGAGCTTGTTTTAGGCAGGGAGGAGCATCCGGTCTCTTCAGGAAGGGAAGTGAGGATCAATCGTACATTGGTGGGTGACCAAGAACAGAGCAGCCTGACCCGTGTTTGCGGGAGAGAATGTGTCAGACTGGAAAACCAAGGTTTCTTGGGGATTTGGGGTTCTGTTAATATCTAGACAGAGATTGGTAGCCTTGGAGGCATCCAGGATCGACCCCCCTCTCCAGATCAGCTTTGGATCCCATCTCCTGTTTCCCTCCTAACCCTGGAACAGAAAGCACTCTAACTGGCCCTCCTTAGGCTTCTTGGTCAAAAGAATAGACTCTGCCTCTGGTCCTGCGTAGAGATAGATTTTTTATCTGCTCCAAAACTGGGCCTGTCAGTCACCTGGCCAGGAGACCGCTCCTGAAGACAGTTTACTCACCCAAGGACATTCTAAAGAGATGGAAAAATAATTATCCATTAATGAGATGATAATGTACGCCTCCTTCCAGGAGCCCATATTCCATGAAGCCACTTACAGAACCTCTGGCACTCAGCTGGCTCACTTTTCATTCAAACTCAGGAAAGCGTTAACTTTTCTTCTTTGTCTTATCTTCCTCATTTTCTTTCTGGTCCCAGTCAAGGGTCTAAGTCAGTTTTCCCGACTCCCACTCTTTCTCTAAAGCCCCAGCCCCTTCCCTCTAAGCTGCTTGCTGACCTCCTTTGCTGAACACGGACGCTATCCCACACCCTGACCCCCAAAGCTTTCTCTCTTCTTCATCTCCACACCCTTCCCCTCAGTCTGGGTGTGCAAACCGAGGACATGGCCATTCCAAGGCCTGGTTTGAGGGGAAGGTTTTTATTGGAGAGATGAGGGAGAGTACAGCCAGGGGCATCTGGAAGAGTCCAGGGCAGCGAGAGAAATTAGTACCCTGAACATGGCCAGCAGATGGGACCCGACTGTGGGGGAGGGGTGGCCTAACAAGAGAGGAGGGTCAGAAGAAAGGGGCAAGAGAGAGGGGGGGCCAAGAGAGAGCATGGCCAAAATGGCAGGGTGATAGAGCATGAGGAGCTGGGGGGAGGGAAGCCCACAAGATGAAGAGTTTAGGGTAGGAGGCCTGGTGAGAAGAGCTGAGAGGAGCCACAGGTACTGAGTGGGCCTGGAGGCCTGCAGACACGTTGGTGTGCTAATAGGCACCACGGTTAGCCATTTGTCCTGAGTTTCTTTTGGATCCGACACTGGGAATTTCGGATTTCCTACCCTTCTGCTTTTTACTCTAATGAAATTGTCCTCAAGCTTCCTTCTAAGCCATTTTCTAAATTCTTTTATTAAGGAGTCCAAGAAAATGTGAAAGGGAACCCCAAATTTTCCTGGTAACATTTGGTCTTGGTCGTAGGATAGATAGTAGAGAGTTCAGGACTAATTTCTGTTTTCGAGAAAAAGGGTTGATTATATGCCACTGTGATGGCTGTTCGCTGGTTCGCTGTTCTTGGTTGTCAACTTGACTACATCTGGAATTGACTAAAACACAACCAGTTGGGCACACCCGTGAGGGTCTTTTTTTTTTAATTAAATAATTTAAAATGGGGAAGACCCACTTTTAATCTGGATTTTTTTTTTTTTGAGGTGGAAAGATTCACCTTTAGTCTGGGCCATAACTTGCTGACAGCCTGTCTAACGGACATGGAAGAAGGAAGCTTGCTCTCTTTGCTGCTTGCTCTGGCTCTCACTGGCAAGTCCATTCCTTCACTGGCATTAGAGCCTACTTCTTCAGGATCCTGGCATATACTGAGGGCTAGCTGAGACATCCATCCTCATGGGCTGAACAACTACTGGATTCTCGGATCTTCATTCTGTAAGTTCTGTTCCTCTAGAGAACCCTGACTAGTATATAACCAAGCAGAAAAAAGTGGAGGGGCCAACAGGGTGGACTAAAGGGGACATTCGTCAGGAGTGTGCGGCACAGACTTTTGAATAAATATCCTGCTCTGACTCTAGCATCTATGCATGAGCTTCAGACAGAAATATCTCATCCCTGATCAACCCGGTGTGAAGATCAACTTTCCAGCCAGGAGTTTCTCCCTCCTGGCAATTGTTATCTTTGTGTGTAAGTCAGTGGTGGAGTGCATGTGGTTCCATTTCACTCTTTAAGACCAAATCCATTTTAACCAACCCACTGTGGCTGGAGAGTGTGCCATCATCTCCCATCTCTGCATTTAATTTTTTTCTTTAAGAGGTGTGGTTGAAAGTTTGAATTACAAGCACAGATATAGGAGACAGCTTTTACTCAATGTTTGGTTTTCCACCAAGCTCTTCAAGAGATAGCACAGTGATCTGCCCAGGGAGTGGGGAGCTGGTTTGCATAGACCGAGAAGACTGAACCAAATGGATAGCTCCCCTGAAAGATACAATCAGGGTGTGGTACTCACACCCTGCTCACATCCTACAGCCTCCTTGGGGAAGGACCTGTTGGGATTTCATGCTCTCTGGGCTGGATAGGATGAGTTGCCAAAGAGCAGATTGTAGCTGATAAGCAAACAAAGAACACTGAAACTCATTCATCAGGAGATGATCAGGTGTGTACAGAATGGTATCACCCTACTCTACATATGAAGGTATCTTAAGACAGTGTCATAAATGGGGTGTGAAAAGCAAGGAGTGAACTGAACCCCTAAACTTCTGGGGCTAGGGATTTGGGGGAGGGTAGATGTCAATTAAACAACACGAGCCAATGGAGAAGAAGCAAGGATCGAAGACATAGATGTGCGTGTCAAGTCTCTAATGGGTGACTTGGGCAGGCTAATGGATCTACTTGTGTCTACTATTTTATCCCTTTATAAAATGAATAGTGTGGAAAGTGAAGAAGGTGATGGCTGTGAAAATGCCTGCTCATGTGTATGACAGGTGCTAGAAGCTTCAGCAGGGTGATCTTTCCCCATCCTTGTTTGAGTGCGGAGGAGGGTAGAGGACACTG